AAATTTGCATTGTTATCTGGGTTCTAGTAAAAGTATTTTGAAATGATAGTTAATGGAATAGAGGATATTATTGCTGATGTCAGATGGATTTTGGTTGAAAGAGAATACCAGAAAGATGTTTGTGTATTATTGATTATTCAAAGGCATTTGACTATATGAATTATAACAAATTTTGTATAACATTGAGAACATGATAATCCCAGAACATTGTGTTCATGTGAAACCTATATATATGCCAAGAATCAGTTGTCAGAATAAAACTAGAGAACACTTCAGGATTTAAAATTAGGAAAGGCGTGCATCAGGATTGTATCCTTTCTCCATATATATTCAATCTGTTTGCTAAGTGAATAATTTTAGAAGCTAGACTTCATGAAGAGGAATGTGACACCTGTATTATACAGATGATACAACCTTGCTTGCAAAAAATGAAGACGACTTGGAATACTTACAACAGAAGATCAAAGACTAAAACTTTCAATATTAATTCTATCTCAGTATCAAAAAAACAAATCTTCACTTCTGGAGCAGTAGGCAACATTATGATAGATGGAGTAAAGATTGGAGTTATCAACAATTTAATTTTATTTCATATGTACCTAAAAGTTGGACAATGAATAAAGACGACTGAAGAAGAATTGGTGTCATTGAACTGTGATATTGGCAAAAAGTACTGGATATCGAAGGACAAAGGACAAATTAATCTGTTTTGCAGGAACTGCAACCAGAGTACTTCTTAGAGGCAAAGATGATGATATTTCACCTCCCATTACTGTACTACAACTCTAAAGGCACACGGCTCGAGGCCACCAGCCACCTCCTGGAAGAAAGATGGGCAATCTCCTGTCTTACAATTGTTGTTGTTATGTGCTGTCAAGTTGCCTGTGACTTATAAGTGATCCTATGTACAATAACCCTAAACCCTGCTCTATTCCTTGCCATATCTTATTGTCTCCTACACACCTATTCCCATTACCCCAGTGATTGAATCAGTCTCATCAAAGGTCTTCCTCTCCTGTGCTGTCCTTCCACTCTCCCAAGCATGAAGTCCCTCTCCAAGGACTGATCCCACCTTGCAACATGTCCAAAGTATGTCAGACAAAGCTTCAGAATCCTTGCCTCCAAGGAGCTGCCTGGCTTCACCCTCTCCAAGGTGAACTTGTTTGTTCTCCTAGCAGTCCATGGTATATTCAATACTCTTATCCAGCACTGTAGCTCAAAGGCCTCAACTCTCCTTCTATCATCCCTAGTCATTGTCTAGTTCTCTGATGCATAACAAGTAATTGCAAAGGCCATAGCCTGTATCAGGTGCACCTTAGTCTCCAGACTGACATCACTGTTCTTCAGTACTTTAGAGAGGTCTCTGACAGCAGACCTTCCCATTGCAATTTGCCTTATCATTAGCTGCCTCTAAAAACCTGTCACATTTCTCCTCATACAGCCTAGTCTCCCGGATAATCTGTTCTGCATATGGATTGGGAAAAAAATATGGGGATAGGACACATACCTGGCTTACACCCTTCCCAATTTTGAACTATGCAGTGTTTTCTTGCTCTGTTCTGACAACTGCGTCCTGGTCCAAATATAGGTTTCACATTAGCATGATCAAGTGTTCTGGGATTCCCATTGCTCTTAGAGTTAGCCACAGTTTGTTGTGATCCACACAGTCAAATGTCTTTGCATAATCAATGAAACACAAGACATTCCTCTGGTACTCCCTGATTCCAGCCAAGATCCATCTAACATTAGCTACGATATCCCTAGTACCATGACCCCTTCTAAACCCAGCCTGCACTTCTGGCAGTTCTCTGTTGATGTGGTGTTCCATCAGGTCCTCATGGCTGACAGGACAGGTCCCAGCTCCCAGCTGGAAACAAAGGAGGATGCTTCAACGATTTAGATCCTTCCAGAAGAGCTGTGGGTGAGCATTAACATTACTGGTAAGTATAATCGTTTTTTCCTGGACACAAGAGCCTACTATTTGGTCCTAAAAGCCTTCTGAGGTCACAACTCTTCTCACTAGTTCTTAGTTGTTGGAATTGACAGAAAACCTCATAAGCAGTTCCTTACTTCACCACTGCCTTGCATGCGGACTTTCGAGTTGTAAAACAACCCAGTGGTAGATGGAATTTGCTCCAGGACTTAAGAACAATAAATGACATACTTGAGCCTCTACATCTTGTGTTTCCTAACCTTTATACTATAATAGACAAAGTGCTAGTCAATAGGCCTTTTATTTTAAGAACTACCTCCCCTCTGTAACTTGATTTGTGCCACTGTTAGAACCTCTACTTGGAATATTATTGCTTTTTAATTTTTGACTCATGTACTTTTAACTTGTTAGTTTAATTTGTGTCTTCTAGGCTGCAACACTTCCATGATACGTCTTCAAGGATATGAACATGTACAGCTAAGCACAATTGATAACAGTGCATCTAAATTCCAAAATCAATCTCCATAATAGTCTATGTGTTTCCTATTGCCAAAGGAGCCCTTTAGAGTAGTGAGAGAAGATCTTCACCCTGAAACCTACAACGTCCCTTTTCAGCAGGAAGTAGCTAAGAGAATACGCCATCCCCTTTTCCTTATGAATCGCACATTGGTGTTCAAGGCCTCAATCCTGTTCCTGAGATGGTTTTGATATTAAGGTGGGATAGACTCAAGACCATATCTTCATTCCCATGGATTCAATTTAATTTTCCTTGGCTTCAGCTTGAACTTGAATTTGAGTAGTTGGTGCTCATTCCACAATCAGCACCTGATCTAGTTTTCACAGCTGATATTGAGGTTTTCCAGTGGTTTTTTCCACAGAAGTAATCAATCTGATTCCTATACATACCATCAGGTAAAATCCATGTGTATAACCTGGGTTTATATTTCTTACAAAATGTATTTGCAATGAATAAATCGTTGCTTGTGCAAAACTCAATCATTCTATCTCCAGCTTCATTTCTATCACCAAGCCCATGTTTTCCTATTACTAATCCTTCTTCTCCGTTTCCAACTTTTACATTCCAGTCACTCATTATTATTAATACATCTTGATTGCATGACTCGATCAATCTCTGACTGTAAAAGTTGGTTGAAATCACACACTCATGTTTATTGCAGCTTTGTTTGAATAGCAAAGAGCTGGAAACAACCCAAGTCCCCATCTACAAATGAATGGTATATTCACACAATGGAATACTATGCAGCATTGAAAAACAAGGAACTCATGAAATATTATACAAAATGGGTAATCCTAGAGGACATTATGTGAGTGAAATATCTCAGTCACAAAAGGACAAATATTGCATAGGGCCATATTTATTTTTGTTACCTAGAAATGTTGACTAAAAACCGTCAAGGCCCCCTGTGTCTTTCCATTTCTGGAACATTGTTCCTTCTATCTCTGCAGATGTACTCTTCTTCCAATACTTATTATTAAAGAATAATCATGCTTTCTATAGGGCTCTCAGGGAGAAAGTCTTTGTACTCTTTGGCCTCCCTATGTTGCTCTTTTCCTTGTACTGTCCTCCTTCTCTCTGCAGTGTCCTCCCTATCTCTGGATTGTTTTCCCTCTTCTTATACTGGCCTCCAACTCCCTGGACTGTCCTCCTTCTCCCTACACTGTCCTTTCTCTTCATGGACCATCCTCCCTTTCCCTTCACTGTCCTCCATCTCACATGCTGTCCTTCTACTTTTACTGTCTTCCCTCTCCCTGGAGGATCCTCCTTCTCCCTGAATGGTCCTCCCTCTCCCTTTAATGTTTTCTCTTGCCCCTGTACAGTCTTTCTTCTCCTTGTACTATGCTCCCTCGCCCTGTGTTGTCCTCCCTCTTCCTTAGCTGTTCTCCCTCTCTCATTAGTGTCCTACTTCTCCCTGGATAGTCTTCCCTCTCCCAGGACTGTCCTCCCTCTCCTTGGGCTGTGTTTCCTATCCTGCACTATCTTTCCTCTCCCTGAACTATCTGCCCCTTCCCAGGACTGTCTCACTTACTGCTCCTCATTGATGAAGAGTTGAAAAGGGGCAGCTCTTTTTAGCACCAGAAAGTGGAAAGAGCACATGACTTTTGGAGAGGGACCACAAAATTATCATCTTCGCTTACAGATGAAAACGGCATTATATAAATTGGTAATCCACATTAAGATGACGGAGGAAAGGGTAATACACAATTATGGGGTCATCAGATATTGTGGATGATTGTAATTAATTTTCTAAAACAAAATGTGTGTGAAATATTCAATGTAAACTCATAAAGCTTTGTGAACTTGCACCCAAATCACAGTAAAGGGAAATGAAAAGCACAGCGTAACCTTTTGGTTGACTGTGGTTGGTTATTCTGTAGATCTCATTGTAAATAGGAAGGACATAGAGCAGAGACCAGCATGCAAGTGGACAGCACCAGGTCAGCACCCCAAACCTGCCTGCATTCCAAGCTGCACGTTCGCAGTTCTGAGGAATAATAACTGCTAGAGTGTGGTGTACGGAGGAGAAAGATGCCTCCAGAAACAAATAATAATAAAAAAAAAAAAACCCCACATCAAATAAGTATTTGTGTTTGAAGATTGGATCTCATCCACAGGGCTAAATGTTTCATTTTCTCTTAAAGGGGCACAAGTCATTTTGTGCTAATTGTGGCTGAAGTGGTTATTTGAAAGAATGTGAAGTATTTTAAAGGGCAAATGAGCCTGGTGCTTCTTCCTCCCCTCCCCAGCGCTCCATTGGTATAAAGAGGTAAAAATCAGCCACAGAACTCACAGCATAACAGAATGACTGAGTTTAATGCTTCTTCAAGTTCTCCATTTTTTCCCATAGGGTTATGTTTTAGAAATAACAAAATGAGGTAAAATAAATTAATGTATGTACACTTTACAAACACTGTGTCAGTTTGCAGCAACAGTAATGGACGTTGTTATGAGAAAAAAAGGCATTTGGCTGCAGTTGGAGCGCAGCCCCCTGAAAGTTGCACGTCTGTCATCCTGAGAAGAATTTGCACATGAGCGAGCACAGTGGCCAGAGGAGCTGTGTTTAGAAGCATTTGCGGTGGACAATGGAGGGCCCAGCCTCGTCGTACTCCTGCTTGGTGATCCACATCTGCTGGAATGTGGACAGCGAGGCCAGGATGGAGCCACCGATCCATACGGAGTACTTGCGCTCAGGGGGCGCAATGATCTAGAAGACAAAAATGCAGTATCTGTGAGAGGTGACTTGGGCCCCCCGGGGATGGTGGCAGCTGAGAGGAGTGTGGAGAAGAGTGTCCAAGGCCCGGATACCCCCACCCGGGCGCGCCCCTGGTGCGCAGCGCACCTTGATCTTCATTGTGCTGGGCGCCAGCGCAGTGATCTCCTTCTGCATGCGGTCTGCGATACCCGGGTACATGGTGGTGCCCCCAGACATGACATTGTTGGCATACAGATCCTTTCTGATGTCAATGTCGCACTTCATGATGCTGTTGTAAGTGGTCTCGTGGATACCGGCCGACTCCATGCCTGTGGGCAGAGAGAGAGGCGGGTAAGCAGGGTCTTGGAGCTGGCTCTGCTGCGGGTGGGCCCGCAGTGCGGCCCTGGGGCACTCACCGATGAAGGAGGGCTGGAAGAGCGTCTCTGGGCAGCGGAATCGCTCGTTGCCTATAGTGATGACCTGCCCGTCAGGCAGCTCGTAGCTTTTCTCTAGGGAGGAGGAGGAGGCAGCCGTTGCCATCTCGTTCTCAAAGTCCAGGGCCACATAGCACAGCTTCTCCTTGATGTCCCGAACGATCTCGCGCTCAGCTGTGGGTAGCAGGATGAGGTTAATACCTGAGCCTGATCGGGAGGCGCACTCCCCACCCTCAGGGCTTCAGGTCCCTCACACCTGTGGTCACGAAAGAGTAGCCGCGCTCTGTGAGGATCTTCATCAAGTAGTCTGTGAGGTCGCGGCCCGCTAGGTCCAGACGCATGATGGCGTGGGGCAGGGCGTAGCCCTCATAGATGGGCACATTGTGGGTGACGCCGTCTCCAGAGTCCAGCACAATGCCTGCAGGCGGAGAGAGTCGCCTGAGCAGTGGACAGTACGCAGTGCAGGGCTGGGTGCACAGCAAGGTTGGTGGCATCTAATTAGTAGGGGCGCTCAGGGGTTCACTTACCGGTGGTACGGCCAGAGGCATAGAGGGAAAGCACAGCCTGGATAGCCACGTACATGGCAGGCACGTTGAAGGTCTCAAACATGATCTGCGTCATCTTCTCCCGGTTTGCCTTGGGGTTTAGAGGGGCCTCCGTGAGCAGGGTGGGGTGCTCTTCTGGGGCCACCCGCAGCTCATTGTAGAAGGTGTGATGCCAGATCTTCTCCATGTCGTCCCAGTTAGTGATGATGCCGTGCTCAATGGGGTACTTGAGGGTCAGGATACCTCGCTTGCTCTGCGCCTCGTCGCCCACATAGGAGTCCTTCTGTCCCATGCCCACCATGACACCCTACAGGAAAGGTAGACAACAGGTGAGTTACCACATGAGGAACAACAGGTGATGGCACTGGTGCAGCGCTTGGAGCTGGGGGTCGGAAATAGGAGGGGGCGTTGACCTGGTGGCGAGGTCTGCCCACGATGGACGGGAATACAGCCCTAGGGGCATCATCGCCTGCGAAGCCAGCTTTCACCAGGCCAGAGCCGTTGTCGCATACGAGAGCGGTGGTCTCGTCTTCGTCACACATGCTGTCTGAATCCTGAAAGCACAGTGAGATGGGGAAGCCACTGGAAATCTCCAGGCATGAGAGGTTTCAGGGGTATTTGCCCTACTCCAAAGTTACAGGGCTGCTGCAAGGAGAGGGGTGGGGATTGTGGGGTTAGAGGTCACTGGGAAGTCCTCCACCTCAAATTGCCAGGAAGGATGACATCAAGAGGCCAGCCTTTCCACAGACATCCAGCCCGGCAGCCCTCCGCACCCCCCAGCAAAGCCTGGGGTTCAGACTCCTTGTGCTGGGTGGTTGCTGCCTCTGTGGCTGGGAAGACTTGAGCGCCTCCTTGTGTGAGGTTGGAAGGAGAGGGTGACGAAGTTAGGCCTTCATCCAAGAGCGGTTACCTGCTAGAACATCCCCGCAGAAGCCTTCCTTTCCCTCCAAAGAGTCAGCAAAACCACCCCTTGGCTCTTTGCTTTGGCACTCTGCTGATTGGACATTGAATGTAAACTTTTAATCTACCTGGGCACATTCCTAAATGCCAGGTAGAGCAGTCCAATCAGGCGCAGACAGATTTGGGGACGTTTCCAGAGCATACTGTCTTGTCCTTGATGCATGTGGCTCTGGGAGGAGGCACCACGTGCAAGGCACAAGCCCAGGCTAGGATGGGCTTTCTGGGATGATTCTCCAAGGTCCCCTGAGCCCACTTCTCCCATCCCCTCTTCACTCCCTCCCTACCTAGGCGGTGACTATAACCACTGCTGTCTGGCTGGGGCCCTGGGTCGCTGGGGAGAGGAGCGAGGTTCCTCCAGGCGCTGTCCGCTGTGGTGGCTGGCTGGCCTGTGCAGGTCTTATATAACTCTGGGGGCGCTACCCCCAACCACCCTCAGCTGGCCAGCAGGGATGTCGCTCCCTTTCTAGAACCATATTTGGGTGTTGGACACAGGAGCTCCCTCCCCTAGCCGGTTGCTCGCCTGGGTCCCCGCCCAGGTCCCCTGCGCTGACCAAAGAAGGAGCGGGCTGGCGGGGGGCCCAGGTGACACAGGCCTGGCCGTATATGGATCGCCTCCTGCGGCAGAGTCTCCCTCCTGTCCCAGCCCACTTGCCTGCGGGAAGGGATGGGAGGGATGAGTGAGCCTGCGCACCACCCAAGAGCTGCACCTGTCTGAAAGGACTCCCAGGCCTGTCCGTTCTGGTCGTCGCTCTGGGCACACAAGAAGGTGGCCAGCCTCTCACATTTCACCCCTTCCTGAGTCCTTTACGCAGAGCTGCAAGCCCTCCCACCCCTTTACTCCTGTGCCAGGAAAAGGCAAGATGAGAGGGCTGGCAAAGTACTTGGCCCAGTCAGGACAGAAAGACCCTCCTAGGTAAACCACCGCCACTGCCCCCAAACCCAGAGAACAGTCTCATCCCCCACCCCCACCGGGACCAGGCTGCACAGCAGAGAGCACAGCTGTGGAGGGGGAGAAGTTCTGAGGTGTTGGAGGCTGGTCGGTGAGCTGGCAAGACGGTGGGCGCCTTTCCATCCTGTGAAGCTGACTAGCTTTGGTAGGGGTGGGCCGAGACCCTCGTCCGTGACTTATTTACCGGTCTCACTATGGGTGAGAGAGGAGAGTTAAGTGGTTAACCACTAGAGCACAAGGGCACAAGGGCGTTACACTTTAACTGGTGCATAGCTTCCCCCTCCTCCCCCCTTTAGCAAAGGCTGCACAAACTCATCTTTATATTTAGAGGATGAGGCCTTGGTGAGTTTCCAGTCTACTTTGGAGAGTAGCCGTGTCCCAGACTGAGGATAGTTCTATTTATACCACTGATGTAGGGGACATGCCTTTGCATTTTCTAGGGTAATTTGGATTCACTTCTCCTTAGTGGTGTGAGAGTCAGAGGCTTCCTATCTTATGGTATTTTAAATTTCTTTTCTTTTTAGACAAGAATAGCTGTTAACTGGCTGAGGAAGGCATAGGAGAAATTATTTTCTGGGATGAACTCAGGCATGTGCTGAGTGAAGGACTGGTGGGAGTCAGAACAGAATCACCCATTTTTCTGATGTATTTAAGTGTTCCAAAAATAGTTGTACTTCACACTTGATAGTAGAATTCATCAACTGAAGCAACTTTGGGTTCTATTCTCTGGAAGAGAATTAAAACTTATGCAAACCATTATAGAAATAATACATATCATCATTGCTTCCTAAAAATCAACAGTCATGGGTAGCAGTGACTGTGTGAAACAGTGTGAATGGGTGATAATGTGGAACACAGTGTATGTATGCAAAGTTTGTGTGCAAATCAATGTAAAGTGAGAAAAAAAATTTTTTAATCACCAAAGTCTATTTTAGAGATAAGAATTTGGTTCTTTGGGCCACTATAGTGAGTCCATGGTTAAAAGCTATGGTGATTTAATATTTCATAAAAGACAATTTTTCCAGCTATTAAGAATGAGTGAATAGGAATTAAACTACACAATAAATAAACTTGACCTCATAGATATTTATAGGCTAATGCACCCCCCAAAAACACAGTATACCTTCTTCTCCAATGTGCATGGAACATTCTCCAGAATAGATCACGTTTTAGGTCACATGGCAAGCATCAATAAATTCAAAAACATAGAAATAATTCAAAGTATTTTCTCAGACCATAATGCTACAAAATTAGAAATTAATAACAAGAGGATAAAGGAGAAAAAAACCATACATCTGGAAGCTGAACAACACCTTGCTTGAACATGACTGGGTACTACAAGAAATAAAAAATGAAATTAAAAAGTTTCTT